CCCGCAAATGGCCGAATCAAATTTTAATTGGCGCTCGCTCCTGCCGCCGTGCGCACTTCCTCGCGTGCTGCATGACCCATTACGGTGTGGTCGGCGGGGCGCCGCGAGAGGGCCCCGGCAGACTGATTCCGAGAGTCGTTTTCGTCGCGGAGTCTCTCTCGCGCATCTAGGGGCGCCCCAGGAGAGCGAGCGAGTCACATCGGGGAATCGGCTCTCCGTCTGCACTGCAGCCACTGCACAGTGGGCCAGAAGACCGTGGAGGGGGACAATTCTAGACGCGTTTTGAGCCCAGGGCGCAAATGAGCCGAATCGAAGTGTGACCATCATGGATTGCTCTTCGCGAGGACCCTATTGGTGGGCACGCTGTCGAGCATTAGCGACTGGAGCTCAAAACGCGTCGAATTTTGTCCGACTCTCCGTCTGGCCACTGCGCACTGCAGACGAGCCCCGGGATGAAAGGCGCTTCCGCCGCTCCGAAATAATGAGTACAATTACAGTGTGTGTCGTGTTGCCCGGGGCGGCGGGCGCTGCAAGATGGCCGTGATTGTGAGTAACTGTCGCCGCGACGGCGACGTGGCGTGGCGGAGGGAGGCACTGACGCGGCGAGGCAGCCAGAATTTGTGTCGCTGACTGATCGCAGTTAATGCCGGCTGCGCCCGGCTGCCTGGGCCCCTCGTGGGGCCGTGGGGCCCGGGGGCGTCGAGCCGAGACGGCGCGGTGCCAGAGGGGGGCAGCAGCCAGGCCGCCAGGCCCAGCCTCTCCAATTAGCTATGAAAACGAATCACTCGTCGACTAGGGTGGCCACGCGGCGCTGCGGTCAACCTTGGCCTTCGCTCGCTAGGCGCGCCCCGCGCCGCCCTCCTCCACGGCGTGAGTGGCAACCCTAAGGTACCCCGGGGCGGCGCGACGCGGCGCTGACAGCCGGCCGGGCGGTGCAAAGGCAAAGGCAAAGCTCCCCTCGCAAAGGCAGCGGGGCGGTAGGGCGGCCAACTCGAACCAAACTAACACGCACTTTATTTTTGGCCTTCAGATTTATGATTATTAGCTTCGTTTTGCGCCGACGCGCCATCCCGTGTCAGGCGGGACGGCGGGGCGGCGGGGCCGGCGGGGCACAGGGCTGCCAACTTGCTGAGGCAAGCGTCGCCCGCACCCCCGCCCCCGACACACACCCTGAGATGCATTTTATCTACTGGAAAATCAGTTGGCAGCACTTTGCAAGTTTGCGGGGTGGGGCCGTAATTCTGGCTGGAGAGCGCAAGGCAGTGCCCTGGCCAGGCAGAGGGCCAGGCCCGCCAGCCCCGCCGCGCCAAGCACGATCAACCATGTAAATGACCGCTAAGCGTTTCCTTTCTGTTTTTTTCGCTCTCTGTCTTTGCCTGTCTGTCTGTCCACCCCCTGCGAGTCCGTCCGTCCGACCGTCTGCTCGATCCACTGTCAACTGTTTTCGTTGATGCCCGCGGGAAATTCAAACCGTGGGGTGGGGGGATTGGCTGGGCTTAGGGCGGGCGGCGCGGGGCGGCGCGGGGCTGTGTGCCGAGGGGTGGGGAAACGGGAAAACAAACAGGACGGCGGGAAAAAATAAACACGTGAGTGCGTACACGAACACGCATCCGCACGCCGCGGCCGCCGCGGCCGCCGCCACGGCCCACTTGAGTGCTGTGCTCACTCCGTCCAAACTTTCTCATTCTTCCCGCCCAAACAGAGCAAGCAAATAACCTGCCAAATAAAATGACGAGCTGGGCCTGCCGGCCGCGACCCTTCGCTCTCTGTCTCTCTGTCTGTCTGTCTGTCTCTCTGCTCTCCTCTCTCTCTCTGTCTCTCTCTCTCTCTCTCTCTCTCTCTCTCTCTCTCTCTCTCTCTCTCTCTCTCTCTCTCTCTCTCTCTCTCTCTCTCTCTCACTCTCCGACCCTCTTTATCTCTGTCCTGCCGTCTCGAAATTTGGTGACCGAGACCGAAATCAATCCCACGACGTGAAATGTGTTCCTCTGCTCCATCCCGCGAGCTCGTCAACAATACGAAAGAAGCCGGGAGCTTACACGGCCCTTTTGCTTTTCTTGTTTGCAGGTAGTGTACCAGACGGAGTGGCGGGGCTCCGCCGGGCTCCGCCTTGGCTGAGCCGCAGTCGCGTTGGGTGAGTGCGTCTGGGCGTCTCGACGGCATCACCGGGGCGGCGATCACCACCACCACGCGGGGCGCGCGGGACGTCTGCCGCGACAAGCTTTTTATTTCCGGTCTTTGACCTCCGACAATATCATTTTAGAGCGGGGCGGGGCGGGGGGCGCGCTGCCGCCAGTATGGAGCAACAGCGCACACCATCCCCCGCCCCTCTTTGCTTGGAGAGGAGAGGTCTTATCTTGCTGTTTGAGGGTCCTCTCCGTCCATGCATCACGTAACGCTGATGCGTCGCTAACCTGGATCTTGTTGTTGTTGCTGCTGCTGCTTTTTAGTGAAATACTACTGCCACAATGTTGCCTCGCCGAAGGGCGAGGGGAGGGTTTTTTCCCGAGAGTGCGGCCACTATCTGCGCTGGCCTTTTCGAATGTCCGGCTTCCGTGCCGCGAGCTCTCGAAGGCTTTCCTTGAAATAGAGTCTTCTTGCGGCTAATGGATTGACTCCAGCGACGCTACCGAAGAGAGGAGGAAGAAGCAGGAGGAGAAGAAGGAAGAGGAGGAGGAAGACAATCACGGACGTAGCAGGAAGAGGACGGCGACGAATGACAGCTGAAGAGGACCAGGATGACTGAGCCAGAGAAGGCAAGTGGGTGGATGAACGAAGAGAGACTCGTTCTAACGCTGTTGCATTCAGCTTGGAGGGGCCCCTTCCAGTGTACCGCCACGACACGAATCGCTCCTGCCTCGCCGCCGCACCGTTCCAGACAACCTGTCCAGGGCCGCGCGGCATCCAGGCAATCCTCTTTCCGTCTGCAAGAAGAAAGTAAAGTCACCCACCCGTCGTCTGGCGCGGCTGGCCGAGCGGGCGAGTGAGCCAGTCTGCGGCGGGGCTCGCAGTAAAGTCACCTACGACCGTCGCGCCTCGCTGCGGTGCGGGGCGGTGCGGGGCGGCGCGGAGTGCTCTCTGCTCTCGCGAAGGGGCTTCATTGCTTCCAGCCGAGTAAAAACGGGGGCGGCGCGCGGATTTCTCTGGAATTCTCTCTGTGACTCGCCGCCGTGTGGCTGCCGGCTACGCGGCGTCAGCGCGACCCGGGGCGCTGACGGACATCACCGGGGCCATCGCTCGGCACGTGCGCTCCAGCGTGGCTCCAGCGTGGCTCCAGCGTGGCTCCAGCGTGGCTCAGCGTGGCTCCAGCGTGGCTCCAGCGTGGCTCCAGCGTGGCTCCAGCTTCGAGAGGTACCGACCTGGTTGGTATGCAAACGCCGCTGCCGCCGCTGCCGTGCCGCGCTGCCGTGCGCCGGGCCGGTCCACCTCCCGGGGGCATTGGGCACTGCCAGGCACTGCCAGCCAGACCGGTCGTCGGCCGAGGGAGGGGGGGGGGGGCGGGCTCGTTCCGAACGGTCATCCTGTCTCTGTCGCGCTCGCGGGGCGGCGTGGCGGCGGCGTGGCCCGTGAGACAGAGAGCACCGCCCTCCGGAACCACCCGGCCGGGCCGCCTGCAGGGAGAGGGAGCGCGGGGCGGCGCGGGGCGGCTTCGCAAACTGAATTGAAATTAAAATGGAGCCGTCCATGCAAATGATGACGAGGAATGTGTTTTGCTTAGGCTGCTGCTTCGTGCGCGTTACCAATGAATGCTGCTTTGCACACCGGCCCGCCCGTCGGCCCGCCGGCGTGTCTGTTTGGGTGCGAATTCAGGTTTTGGAACCCACATGTCAAGCAGAAAGGAACGAAATTCCGTTTGGCACTCTTTATTTTTTTTGTCAGGTGTGGTGTGGAAACCTGGCTCACCTTTTCTTGGCGCGAGAAGAAAGAAACTCGCGCTGCGAAAGGAGAGAGAATATTTTTTTTCTTATCCGAGAGGGCGCTGTGGTGGCGGCGCGGTTCGAGGCAAGGGAGAGAAAAATGCATTCCTTGCACTCCCCAACCCGCCGCGCCCCGCCCCGCCCTCGCCCTCCGTTACTTCAACACGTCTGCATGTGTGTCTTACATGGAATCAAGCCTTTCCCGCCCCTCCATTTGTCTCTCGAATCTAATACACAAACTCGGGGTGCGGGCAAAACAGAGAGTGAAACGCGGAGAGGGAAAGCAGAGCGTTGCCTGAGTCGTAAAAGCAGAGCAGAGGTTGCGTTCACCTGTTTGCTGTGGCGGCGGCCCGAGTACGGCTTCACATCAAAATTCCATTTTCTGCCTCGTGCGTGTTTATGGACGCGGCCGCGGAAACCCCGCGAGTCTGTCTGCCTTTCTCCAGAGTGATGGAGGCTGTAAATAAGGCGGCTGGCTCTTTTGTGGGTTTGCCAGCGTTTTGTGGGTTTGGTTCGGGGCCGGGGTTCGGAGCGCGGCGGAGTGGAGGCGCAGGCGGGGTGACGCTGCGCTGCCAGGCCTCTGCATCATCATGACGCATTGCATTGGGATTAGCGCGTGTCGCGTGCGTGCCGCGATGCGATCACGGGGCCGTGGGCCATGGCAGGGCAGGGCAGGGCAGGGCCGGGCAGGGCCACTGGCGGCCTGGCGGGGTCACTGGTTCATCGCCGGCGGCGGCGATAGGCACGCACGCGGCGCGCGGCGGCACGGCGCACGGCGGCGCGACGCCGGCGACCCCTAGCGGCCGCGGCTGGAGCCGACGCGCTGCCGCCGCCGCGCCGCCACCACCACCGCGACTGCTTGGCTGCTTCGGGTCGCACCCCATGGTGCCTACGGCCTAGCGGGGTGGAGCGGCGCGGCGGCGCGGCTCGGCAGGACTCAGTGCCGAGCGAGGCGGCGTCCGGACTGCACGCACAGGGACGCCCCGCGCGAGAGGCGAGACGAGCCGAGCCGCGGCGACGGAGAGCCGAGCCGAGCCACAGCGAGCCGAGCCAGGCCACTCCGCGGTCGATACGGAGGCTGCGCGGGCCGCGAGCTGCGCGCACGGCGGCGCTGGGCTGCGCAGCGATCGGACATTGCCGACTGGGAGAGCGAGCCGCGCTGTGCCTCCCACAGTGACGTGACGCGGACGTGACCAAGTGACGAGTGCCGTGTGCGAACCCCCCGAGGATTACGCCGTGCAAGAGGAACGCTGTCAACTCCTTCAGTGGTGTGCATCCCGATGACTCGGTTCACCCGGACGGACGGTGTTGGTGCTGTGTTTGTTTTGTGTCTGTGCGACGGTCGGCTGTCACTCTGGGTGTGTGTTAGTTGTGTCATGTCACTGCGGAGCCTGAAGCTAGTCTCGAGGTAACACCGTTTTGGCGTTGAAACGGCCTTCGGCGTTTTGTGTTTTGAATCATTCCTGGACGCAACAAGCGATGGCAGTGTTTGGTTCACTTCGGCTGAACCACCGGCAACCATGACTGAACTAGCCGGGCCCCGCGGCCAGCCTCACGGCCAGCCAACGTCATCCCTGCAGACGGACTGGGCGCAACAACAAACTTGCCGCAACAATCTCAATTAAAACAAATTCCGAGGTGGCTGTTTGGTCCAGGACCGTCCTGGACGGGCGGACGGCCAATACGGCTTGATGGATGACAACGTGGTCGTCGCCGCGTGCACCGCGTCTGATTAATGGTGGTCTTGGTTACCAACACTGGAGCGGCTCCTAAAGACCGCGCGACAATTCATTATTCCCTACCCGGCCGCAAACCGTGCGGTGGCCCGGAAACGGAGGAGAGGATCGCTTTGTTTTAAAACTGTTTTCCTCTCTCCGCCGTCGGGGGTCGCGAGGGGGTCGTGGGATTCCCTGGGCGCTCCGATTGGGTCGTCTGGCTCTTATCTCGCGTGTTGAAGGCGGCTGTGGCAGGGTGGTCACACACACTGTCGTCCTCTCTCTCTCACACACACACACACACCCGCAGGCGCCGACGCTGAGGCCGAGCCCACGGCGCGGTCTGCCCATGACGAAGGCCCTCCTCTCGGAGGCACGGCGGCACGATGTCGTGGCGGAGTGGCCTCGGCCGGGGGTGTCACGCAGCCAGTGGAAAAGACGGCCCCGGAGAGCCGCAGTGCCCCGCCAGTGGCCGGAGTGTATGCAAATAAAGGATCGATTGGCGCGGCGAAGGCAGGACGAAGGCAGGGCGACGACGCCGCGCCTTGTCACCGCCCTGTGTCACAGCCCCTTCCCTCGGCCGCGCCTCCTCGCTCCATGGAGGGCCGTACCGTATTGGGAAATATAAAGAAACGGCCTCGAAAGGGCGGGCGAGAGAGCCCCGCGCTTGCTACGCCACGCGGGGGACAAAAGCGCGAAAGCGGAGGCGCGTGGGAGTCGAACCCAGGACGCCACGCCGCTACGGGGCGAGTACCCGTCGGGCGCCTGCCGGACGCCGGACACCTGCCGCCGGACACCGGTGCGCGGCGGGCGGGCCTACCCGGAGCCTCGCAGGCGCGCTGGCGCCGACCGTGCGTGCAGCGCGTGTCTTGTCAGTGTAGTCGCCGGCGGCGCGCAGCGGGCGGCCGCGCTGATGAACGCAGTCTAAATGATATAACAATCACTGTTTATGAGCGGGGCGGGCGGGGCGGCCGAGCCAGAATGCGGCCAGCAGGACGGCGCCTCGTCGGCTCGCGCATGCACTCATACACTGTGGCCGCGCTCTGTCTCCCTCACGCCCATACGGCAGGCCCCACGAGTGCGAGAGAGACGGACTGCTCGCCGCGCTGGCTGGCGGTAATCGCTGGAGATTTATACGCAGTCGGCGCCCGCTTCGATAAGCCGGAATCCCAGTCCGTGATGATGATGGACCGACGGCCGCGCCGCTCGCCGACGCCACTGCTTCCGCGGCGCCGTTTTATTTACCGAACGGCTATTTCCGGCCGGCCAGGGCAGTGCAGGCTGCAGTGCAGGGCGCCCCGATGCGCACCCCACACTGCCAGCGCGGCGCGGTGCACCGGGATGCACTTTGGACCGGCGCTGACTGAAGCCGAACGCCGCCCAAGGCCTGTCTCTGTGTGTGTGTGTGTGTTGTGTGTGTGTGTGTGTGTGTGTGTGTGTGTGTGTGTGTGTGTGTGAGCGTGCGGGAGCGAGGTAGCCGGAGATGAAACTCTGAAAGTGTCCCGAGCTAGAAAGGGCAAGGCGAGAGGGCCGGAGAGGGCCGCCCCCTGTTTAGAGTGGCGTTGGACCGCAGCGAGGGGAACCCTCTACCTCTCTCTCGCTCTCTCCTTCCTTTGTTTCCACTTCCTCTCGTCCCCTCTTATTTATTATTATCGTCATTATTATTGCCATTGTCCACGCACGCACACACGCAGACGTCGCGGCGGCCTTTTTGGCTCGGCTCATGTAAAATGAAACGAAACAATGTGCGTACACGGCAGGCCGCGGCAGGCCGGCCGTGGTGACCGCGGACCTCTCTGCTCCGGGTCGCGTCCTCGCCGACCGCGGCAAGCGGCGGACGAAAAGGATAAACAAGGAAAAAGTGGAGAGCGATGATGAAAGTGTGTCTGCGTGGCGTTCGCTCTGGTTAATGGAACATCAAACACTTTGGAGGGACAATCAAACGCGGAACGCGCGGCGGTTCGGTATTATGATGTAAATAAAAGGACGGCTGTCCATTACGCCGGCAAAGCCGCGGGGCTGCCGGGTCGTCACGTCTACGCGCGCGGCCGGCCAGCCAGGCAGCCAGGCAGCCAGCCAGACAGACAGACAGACAGACAGACAGACAGACAGGCAGACAGACAGACAGACAGACAGACAGACAGACAGACAGACAGACAGACAGGCAGCCAGCCAGCCAGCCAGCCAGCCAGCCAGCCAGCCAGGAAGCGCTTCACGGGGGGATTTCATACCGAATTTATCCCCGGCTCAGGTGGCGCGACGCGAGGAGCGACTACCCTGGCGGTGCTGCGAGGCCTCTCGCCGGAGTGGCTAGGGCTGGAGGGCCCGTTAAATGGTCCAATAATAATAATATACAGTTATTAACCATCAACATTTTCCAGGAGTCGTGTTTTTTTATGAACATGTAAACCGTGCGCCAGCTTCTCCTATCTCCACTTTTTCTCGTCGTCTCTCTCTCTCCTTGCCGTCCTCCATCCCCGGCCTTCGTGAGTAATGGCCCTCATGCCAATATAGACGCCCCGCAGTAAAGCCGTCATCGACACGGCGTTTGTTATTCCTGAGGTGTGGAGATGGGACCGTTGGACCCCCTCCCCCTGCCCCCGCGGGGCCCCGAATGCCCCCTGCCCTGCCCTGCCGCACAAAAAGGGCAGTCGCGAGCAGCATCTGGATAAGGCACGGCGCCGAGGCCGTCACCGAGGCCGTCACCGAGGCCGTCACCGAGGCCGTCACCGAGGCCGTCACCGAGGCCGTCACCGAGGCCGTCACCGAGGCCGTCACCGAGGCCGTCACCGAGGCCGTCACCGAGGCCGTCACCGAGGCCGTCACCGAGGCCGTCACCGAGGCCGTCACTGAGGCCGTCACCGAGGCGAGCACACCGTCGTCGCCCAGGTGCTTCGCGTGGCGTGGCGTGGCGTGGCGTGCCGTAGCGCTGGTATCGATTCCAAAAACCTGTTGCCAGCTGCAGCTTTTGCAGCTTGCATTAGTGAGGCATCTGTGCCGTGCCGCGCCGTGCCGCGCCGTGCCGCGTTAATTGACGGTCCGCGATCACGCTCGCTGCATAACGCACGGCGCGGCGCACGCGACATCGACCGGACGGACTGGGCGCGACGCGGCGCGACGCGGCGACGCGGTATTGGCAGGGCGGACCTTCGCCACCGGCCGACACGGCACTCGCTACTTTGTTGCGGAGCCGAGTGCAGCCGAGTGGCGAACCCGCTGCGTCGTGACTCGCACTTTATTAGCCCCACTAGAGTGCCTGCCCGGCCGGCCGGCCTGCCAGCGCCTTCTGGGAGTCCTCACCGAGACGACGCTCTCGTCCTCGTGCCGGTGACGCACCGCCAGGCAGGCCGTGCCCGAGGCGTGCCCGGGCCGCGCATTCAACAAGTCACCGTAAAAATGGCGCCGCCTGGCACCCACACTGGCACCCGGTCCGCCGTCGCGTTTTTACCCGGGGCTCATTTTTCAGTGCGGTGGTGGCGGGGAAGGGGCGGCGGTGGGGTCGCCGTCGTGGGTCGCCGTCGACGGCCTCCTCATGCATGCGTTAGCGCACGCTTTGCCGCCAATCAACCGACGCCCCTCCGGTCGGTCCTTATCATCGCCAGTATCTCTCTCCTCCTCCCCCTCCCCTCCCTCCCTCTGCCGCCACCCCGGCAGGGCGGACCGTTCCCCTAATCCTTCATCCGGTCCTTTTTCGTAATTTGGCGTGTAGGCGCGGCGGCGCTGTGCCGCGGGAGTCTCAGACGACGACGCCCGCGATAAGGCAGCCTCTGGAAGCTCCAGTCGCTCCAGCCGCTCCAGCCAGCCTCCCTGGCTCCAGCAGTGGCGCAGCGCAGCACGGCCTAATCCTGGAGTAAAACTGGGAAAGCGGTGGTGGGAACGGGCGGCGTTTAGAGGGGCTTGTTTGCAGGGGTTGCAGCGGGGGTGGTGGGGGCACGGCCATGGGCGAGGCCATGGGCGCGGCCGGCACGGGGTGGCGTCATCCCCCGAAAACACAAACAGATTCATGACGCGTGAAGGGCGGGCCATTAGCAAACCCCACGCACTTCTTAAATCACATCTGACGCGCCCAAAGTGAGTCCCGCCTTAGTTTTTTTTTTTCCCACCAGCTTTTTTCTCTCTTCCTCGCACCCCTTCTCCATCCTTTTCGCGGTGTCTTGCGCCACTCCGGAAGCACTTTGTCATGATGCCACAGTGTGGGATGAAAGCTGGCCAAGGATTCGCGAATCACGCTGTATATTAAGGGGATCGAGTGGCGCGCGGTGCGGTGCGCGTGAGCGAGCCGGCAAAGCGAAGCGACGAGGACGGCGACGACGCACAGTGGGCCAGAAGACCGGTGGAGGCGGCCAAAACTCTAGACGCGTTTTGAGCTCCAGAGTCGCTAAATGGACTCGAACCGAACGTGTGACCCCACCAATGGATTGCTCTCCGAACGAGGAATCCATTGGTGGGGTCACACGTTCGCTTCGAGTCCTGCTTAGCGACTCTGGAGCTCAAAACGCGTCTAGAGCTTTGGCCGCCTCCACTGGTCTTCTGGCCCACTGTGCGACGGCCGC